ATTTTTTGCAAGGATGGTTTCTTTCCAAATTACCAAGATTTGCTTAAATTAGTATGAAAATAAATTCAAAATGTATTATATACTTGAAATCGGTTTGTATCCTTATCCGGGGGTTATGACCCATATCATGAACTGCAAAAGCGATTTAAGGTATCGTGAAAGTTTAGGAAGAATTTCTGAAAGAATAGAAATCCTTTTCCCTCTTCTTTTTTGCTCCCTTTATATTCGGTATTTCACTGACTTCAGTCCCAATGAATTTTGCACATTGAGTTCTCATTGGACGGATTATTGTAATGTGAAAGAAGTTTGTAGGTCCCCGTTTTGAAATGAGCCCCAAAAGGTTTTGCCGTTTCTTTTTTTTTTTTGTTTGTTTAAATGTGTTCGCATCTTCGAGCTGAAGCACGATGTAGATCCTGGAGTTGAAAGCTAAATGCCAATTTCAGACAAGGAAAATCGCTATTTAAAATCGTATTGCGTACTATTTCATTTTTGATATTATTCATTCAGAATTTAAAACAATAAAAAATGTACACTTCGATATAGTTTTTTCATTTCACGCCAAAAGGATTTTTTCTTTTATATTTTTATTGGCATATTTTGCGCATTTTTTTTTGCAAGATTCCATTCCGAAGTTGTATAAATTGTGAAAATCCGTCAAAACGTTCTTGAGTTATAAGCATAGTAACTAATAAACAAATTAAAAAAAATATATATTCAACTTGTTCGCAGGTTTTTTACAGCGAATGTTTAAAGGTCCTTACGAAGTTTGGTCCTTACTATTATTTTAAAATTTGATTCCATTGAAAAAATTTTCTCTATTTTTTCCCGATTTTAGAGTTTTTGCAATGCAATAGGCTCTTTTTTGATTTTTTTAGCAATTTTGAAAAAAGTAATTATCTATTAACGTTGATTTGACCACGTTAAATTATTTTGACATCATCTATTTAGTTCCGCCACTCTATAGTTGTCGTCGCTTTATACTACCCAAAAAGACTCACATCATATTAGAATTCAAAAAAAAAAAAAAAAAAAAAAAAAAAAAAACACTACAATTGTACATTCCAAAATAGTAATTCAAAATGGAAAATATCATGCAAAATAAAACACTACTATTGTACATTTCAAAATGAAAATTTTCAAATTTCACATTTTTACGCGATTTGTTTGGATTTTATCTATTTCTTCCAAAAGACAATTCCGATTTTGTGTGAATTGTTAAAATCAGATCAGCGGTTCTTGAGTTATAAGCGTAGCAATTAACACAACTTATATATAGATAGATTAGAAGTATGCGTGGTCAGTTCCTCAGCCCCCAAATAAATCCCTAGGGTTGGAGGGAAAGTCAACAGTATCTCGTGTAATAATTTTCAAACCGATATCTTCATTATCTGGCAAATATAAAGATTTTAGATAAATCAAGATAGTGGGCGTAAAAGTAGGCGCGGTCGATAGTTTTTTCTCTAAAAACCTAAATCGGGGTATGATGAACGTTTGTACAAAAAATTATGCAAATCGGTCCATTTTCAACTGATTCCATTACCAACGAACAACAATTGATTTTTATATATATAGATAGAAGAAGAAGATATACAACATTTACAAATAATAATAAATTTAAATTGACTTTTAAGAAAGGCATGTATTCTTTTGTCTATTATGCACATTTGCCAAAGCATAATTATTCACAGATATGACTGTTATAAGTGTTCACGTACTGGTCGATTAATTTTTTATTTTTTGTCAAATGAGCAGTAATTTGGAATTTACTGTATTTTGTACACCTCTTAATTGAGGGCTGAATGATCTAAGAATAGCCAAAGTTAATTACTTTTTTAAACCCATTAGCACCTCAGATTGTGCATTAGAGTCCTCATATGTCCCCTTAAACATGTCGGTCTGTTTGTCCGCCAAAAGGCTGTAAAATCAGGAAGTACCTGGGCACTACTGCAAAACATCGACCTACATTGAAAACTTTCTTCACCCCTTATAATCCAAGATAACAAATAGAGGCCAGATCAAAAATATAGCAGAACAACATAGCATGTCAAACTGAAAAAATCACGTGATTTAAATAAGTAAAAATATTTTTATCCACCTCATAATTGAGGGCAGACTGATTTCAGAATAGTCAATTATAACTACTATTTTACACCCATTACCGTAAGATGGGAACTAATTTTATTTGTCATTTAAATTGTAAATTGAAGGCACCATAAAGTCCATATTTTTCATCATAGAACAATTCAATGACGATTCAACAAATATTCGGTCCCGTGCTACTTTCTTATTTTTGTAATTTGTTCACGTTTTCACAATTTATTTCATATAGATGTACATCCCAAATCTACGTTCCCAACCTCTCTTGGGGATTACAAATTCAATAGAATACAAAATTTTCTTTTCTGACCACACATTAGATGTGAAAGTGGACTTGGGGATACTCCAATGTGGGGACTTTACGTAAATAAATTCCTATGTGGCAAATATCTGTGTGATGGTTTCCTACCCCAGGGTAGCATATATACAATTTTTTAGCCAAATCAATTGATGAATGTGGTCAAGACCAATATGGGCCCTACTCCGAAAATTTTATGCGAAGAGGTTCTCTACCCCCTTCGAAACAAAGATGCCAAATAAGGACCAAAAATAGAAGAAGGTGCCTAGACCCCAAAAATAGCTCAAATAATACGATGGTTATATATTATCGTTATGCAAGAAGCGATTTAAGCTTTCTTGAATGTTCGGGAAGAATTTCTGGAAAGATAGAAATCCTTTTCTTACTAAAAGTCCCATTCGCTCTACTTTTTTGCACACTTTATATTTGGTATTTTACTGATTGTACTCCCAACAATGTTTGCATTTTGAGCTCTCATTGGACGGATTATAGTCACATGAAAGAAGTAGGTCCACGCTTTGAAATGAGCCCCATTAGTCTTTTTCGGTAATTTTTGTTTGTTTAAATGTGTGCATCTTCCAGCTGAGCCACGACGTAGGCTCTGAAGTTGAAAGGTAGATGTCAGTTAACATCGTATTTCGCACTTTATTCATTTTTTGGTGAAAAATTATATCTAGTGAAAAATTATACTTTATTTTGTTCACAAAAAATCCACTGAATTCAATATGATAATACAAATTGAAAAAAATTGACAAAAGAAGAATAACAAATTGAAAAAATCTTCAACTTGTTCCCTGATTTTTTACAGCAACTGTTTAAAGATCCTTACAAAGTTTGTCAATAGAATGTACTTTTATTTTAAAATTCAATTCCATTGGAAATTTTTTTTCGATATTTTCCCGTTTTGAGAATTTTTGCAATGAGATCTCTTTTTTCGTGATTTTTTTTAACGATTTTGAAAAAGTAATTTTATATTAACTTTGGTGCGACCGCATTAAATTATTTCGATATCATCCATTCCGTTTCGCCACCACATAATTCGGTATTACACTTCCATGTAACCTGCCATCAATTTCAGTTCGCAAGAAATAAAGTCTATTAAATAAATTGCTATTAATATTTGAATTTAAAAATAAAATAATAAAAACGCTACATATGTACATTGGAAAAAAGAAAGTTTAAATAAAGATAAATAAAATATTACTATTGTACATTTCAAAAGTCAAAATGAAAATGTTAATATATCACATTTTTACCCTATTTGGATATTATCCTTTTCAGATAGGAGACAATTCCGAATTTGAATGAATCATTAAAATCAGTTCAGCGGTTCTGAAGTTATAAGCGTAGTAACTAAAACAACTTTATTATATATATATATATATATATATATATATATAAGTTAACGACATTGGCGACACTGTCGCTTCTGCAACTTATGCTCATTTCATTTTGATTGCAACACGCGCTTCCGATTCAATTTCGATATTGCAACCGATGAGAAATTCTTTCTGCAGTATCAGCACCTGCATACTGGCGCGTGTTGGTCGAACGGAATGAGTACAACCATCGAGCCAACAAAGGTGGAAGGCAACCGGCAGTTTGACTTTGGCTATTTCGAGTGCGGTTCACTAAATATTAAATTTAAATATCTTGTATGTAAGGAACCGGGCATTTGTTTAATCGTCTTTGAATTATACTATGATAAAAGATATGGAAATTATGGAGTCTCCAACGCGCAATTTTAATGATAAATAATTCATATTACTTTAAAAACAAGTAAAAAAATTAAGTTTGGCCGGGCAGATTTATTACTTTCATCCATCTGAGGGTAAAGGAATCATTTTTATACAAAAGTATCTAAATTCAAACGTGTTTCACTTTAAACTTCATATACCTGTAAGACTGTTTGAATGAGGCCGTTATATGGGGCCATACCAAAACGGGAACCTCTGTGGACAATTTTATACTTCAAGGATTGTCATCTATCAAACCTTCTAAAATACCAAATTTGAAACAATTATACGCGTAAATGCGTGGATTATCAACATACCCAATATAGGTAGGTATTGTTATATATGTTAGACAAATCCGAGAAGAAATGTGGCAAAAATCATCAAAATACCGAATTTCGAGAGATATCGTTATATGGGGACTATACCTAACGTGACCATACGTCCCGCTTTGGGCGGGACAGTCCCGCTTTGGGCGGGACAGTCCCGCTTTGAAGTTATCTGTCCCGCTGTCCCCAGCGAGAGCAAAAATGTCCCGCTTTCGAAAATACTGGATATTGATATTGATGAAAAATACATGAGTTATTTTTTCCCCGTGAACATATAATTTGTTTGCATAGTTTTTTTCAAGCAACATTAACTGTTTTTTACTTCACCTTTTTTATTTGTTATTTAATTAAAAGATGATGTTTATTTTTGCTTTTTTTTTTCTTTTATTATTTTGTTTCAATTCTTTAAATTTAATTTGTTTCGTTTACACTTTTTGTTTAGATTTAGGTTTTTTTGTTCAATTAATTTCCTTTTTTTTTTGTACATTGTTTTGTTTACAATTTTTTTGTTTATTTGTAGTTTTTTGTTCAATTTGTTCAATGTTTTTTTTTTTTGTACAATATTTTATTTTCAATTTTTTGTACAATGTTTTATGTTTTTTTTGTTAACACTTTGGTTTTTTTTTTTTGTTTTTGGGCACTGTTCACTTCGGGGGGGAAACTTGCGTACGCGCTTTCAAATTCGAGACAGAACTGCCCTAACTCAAATTTGCATCGTCAGAGCAAACCTGTTTTGGCTGGTGACGATGCTTATTTATTTGAATTCAGCATTGGAATTTACCGGTGGCTGCATATATGTGCATGTGTGTGTGTATATGTACATCATTTTTTTATGATGTTATTTATGCAGCCACCGGTAATGTAACAAACAACACTGTTGCGCAAAAATCTAGCATCTTTTATGAACATTTCTGGCCCCCGAATGACAAGTGTTTACATTCATTTTTGAAATACAATGTTGTTCTTATATTTTTGGCATATTTTTTATTGGACCGGCAAACACGTAACCCAGTTGGGTATCATAGGCCAGGACATCTCCAATTCCAGCCTCCTTGCACTCGTCTTTTCTTATGGCTGAGTAAACGTCAGCACCCAGTTCCACATCGACGGGATTGTTGCCTCGGGGATCAGGGTCGGCTAGGGCGCAATTTCGGAAACTTCTTGTGGGGTCCTCGAGGATTGGGTCCGAGTAAATGCGCCTGGGCAAATCTTCGATTATCAAGGCATTAACTCTAAGACTCCAGTGGCTGTTTGTGCGGCGGGGCGAAACCGTAAAGGTGGTAAATCGCTGCCCTTTGTAAATCCGCAATTGTAGGCCCAATCTACGGAAAGCCGCATACGATATTTTGGACATCGTCGCTGATTGGCTGATTAATGCCCTTAGCATGCTGTACCCCTCTATTTTGTCAGCCTTGATGCGCACCATAGCCGTTGGCACAAATACCAAATCCCACGCAAAGTTTGGTGTTGTTACAACTTCCACGTTTAGGGATACTTCCTCCAGCTGAGACGCCCCGTGTAGCAGCGTATGATGCCGATTGTTGCACCTCCTGCAACCAGTCAACGACGGACAGTCAGGGGCCAAATGACTTCTGGCAAGGCAATTTCTGCAGTACCCCCTACGCTCCACGGTCTCATAGCGTTGGAAGGGGGTCTGGTGGCGAAACCTCTCGCAAGCACTGAGGGCATGGTCCTCCTGACACAACCCACAGGAATACTGCCAATAGCTGGGTCGTTCTTGGCGTTGGCGGGATCTTGCAGCGGAGCGGCTTCGTTGACGTCTTTCTGGCGATGTGGAACTGGGAAGTCTGCGGTGTCTATGAGCCGGTCTGCTGGGAATGGGTTCGGTTGGGCGACTGGGTCTGCTAGAACTTCTCGCTGTTGGACGTGCGGATTGGTTAGGACTGCGGCTGCGATCATCTAAACGGCAGTCTTGATTGGGCAAGTAGGCAGCCATATCTGAAAAAAACCAAAGGCGAGTACTATGTTCTTTTTTAAGTAGGATTCCGGCTAGTCAGTCGGAAAACAATTTGACAATTTTTGTGATAGGTCTGCTTATGTTGCCACTTGATGTCCGTATGTCTACAACCCTCGTATTCTGATCGCTACCGAGATATGTTTTTGCAATTCGACCCAACTTCCATTCATTTGGAGCCAACCTATCGTCCTTTATGACTACTAAATCTCCTTCTTTGACATTCTCCCTTTCACGCTTCCATTTAGTTCTTCTGTGAAGTTCGTGGAGATATTCTAATTTCCACCTATTGCAAAAGTATTGTGAAATAACTTTGAGTCGTTTCCAACGATTTACTAGACTAAGATCTGTGTCGGAAATGTCGGGTTCAGCAGGAGTAAGAATTGATGTTCCAATTAAGAAATGACCAGGAGTTAATGGGGAAAGGTCATTTGGATCATCGCTACCAGGACTTAAGGGTCGCGAATTAAGGCAGGCTTCAATTCTTACTAAGATAGTTGTAAATTCTTCAAATGTGAAATTCATTTTTGGAATACTTTTTCGCAAATGCATTTTAAACGATTTAACGCCGGCCTCCCACAAACCGCCCATGTGCGGAGCGTCAGGCGGGATAAATTTCCAAGTAAGATTTTGATTGAAATTGTTTTGGATTGTGCTACTTTGAATATTCTTCATGAAAGCTAATCGATCTCGCTTTAATAGATCGACCGCTCCCACAAAATTGGTTCCGTTGTCGGAAAATATACAAGACGGACAACCTCGCCGACTTATGAATCTGGAGAAAGCGGCGAGAAAGGCATAAGTAGATAAATCGCTAGTTGGTTCTAAATGTATAGCCTTGGTGGCGAAGCAGACGAACAGGCAAACATAGCCTTTTGTGATAAAGCAAGCCCTTCCTGAATAACTTTTAATATTAAAGGGTCCTGCAAAATCTACCCCAGTGTTTGTAAAGGGTCGATACAGAAAAGTACGTTCGGGTGGCAGCGAGGCCATTATTTGAGTTTGGGTTTGTTTCTTGTGAATTAAGCAGATTCGACATTTTCGTATAGTTTGTTTAACCAGAGATTTGAGTCCAAATATCCAGAATTCGGATCTTAGCACTCGGGTCATCAATTGATTACCACCATGTAAAGTGATCTTATGAGTGAATTCGACCAACAATTTGCTAAGGGTAGTTCCGTGTGGTAGTATTATGGGATGACGTTCGCTATATGTAAGGGCTGGAGATTGAACTAATCTGCCATTAGCTCGAATAATACCCTTTGAGTCGAGAAACGGGTTTAACGTCAATAGAGGGCTCGATGGAGAAATTGGAGACTTTTTCATTAGTGAATTATATTCATCTGCATAAACGAATTTTTGTGTACGAATTATGCAAGATCGTTTTCCATCTTGGATTTCGGCTGCGGTAAGATCTATTGATGAGGAGCGAATATTTTGCCGATTTGCGCCTGTATTTGTCCAAAATCGCAGAGCATAGGCGTATGATCGGTAGACTTTTGCCAATGATGAGAAATTTTTTAATGGATCCTCTCTTTCTTGAAATATAGTCAGAACTTTTACAGCTTTAGCCTCTAAATTTGTGTCGTTTGGGATATCTTGCGATGGCCAACGATCTTTTGGCATTTTGAGCCATTGAGGTCCATGCCACCAGAGCTCATGAGTCGTTAGTTCAGTTGGAGAACATCCACGACTAGCAATGTCAGCTGGGTTGCTTTCAGAGTCAACATGTTTCCAGTTTTCTTGCCCAACATTATCAGATATTTCCGAGACTCTATTTCCCACAAAGGTGCTCCAATGACAAGGAGGCTTTTTTAACCAGGCCAAGACAATAGTAGAGTCTGTCCAAAAATGTGTTGAATATTTTGATATTTGTAGACTGTTTGTAATAGATTTTGCTAATTTGGAAAGTAAGACTGCCCCACATAATTCGAGCCTTGGTATTGAAAGTTTTTTGATTGGTGCTACACGAGTCTTTGCTGCTAATAAAAAGGTGTGTGTGGTATGGTCAGTTTTTTCAATCCGAACATATAGCGTGGCTCCATACGCTCTCTCCGATGCGTCACAAAATCCATGAATCTCAACAGAAGCCTCTAGTGTAAACTGTATCCATCTTGGAACTCTGAGAGATTTAATATCATTGCTATTTTTGACAAAGTTTTGCCAATTTATATGGGTGATTGGTTTCAGTGTATCATCCCAATCGATTTTATCCAGCCAAATTTGTTGCATTATCAGTTTTGCTACGACCACTATTGGTGCTAGCCATCCGCATGGATCAAACAATTTGGCTATAGTTGATAAAACTTCTCGTTTTGTGTAAATGTTTTTGTTTTCCATGGTTGGAGGTGTAAAAGTGAAAAAATCACCTGATATATTCCATCGTATTCCCAACGTTTTCGTGGACGCATCTTCAGAGATATCCAACCAGTTAAGAGGCAATAAATTTTCTTGTGGAATATCTTTTATTATTGTATGATAATTTGAGGCCCATTTCATAAGTTGAAATCCAGCGGATTCGAGCGCTGCTACTAAGTCCTTCCGAGCTTTTATAGTCTCCTCAATTGTGTGTCCACCCGCAAGTACATCATCCACATAAAGATTCTGTCTTATAATTCTTGCAGCTCTTGGATACGAATCTTGAACATCATCTGCCAATTTCATAAGAGTTCTCAGTGCCAGAAACGGTGCGCAATTTACTCCAAATGTTACAGATAGTAATTCATAGTCTTCAACTGGGTCTGTTGGCGATTTTCTAAACAGAATTCTTTGATATTTTGTTTGAGTTGAATCCAACAGTATTTGCCTATACATTTTAGTAATATCGGCGTTAAAAGCATACTTAAAAAATCTCCATTTTAGAATTTGTAGTACCAAATCTTGTTGTAAAATGGGTCCCGGAAACAATATGTCATTGAGACTTGTTTTGTTTGATGATGGGCAAGAAGCATTGAAGACGACTCTTAACTTTGTCGTGATTCGATCTGGCTTAATTACTGCATGATGTGGTAGATAATAATTGGGCATTTCGTCTCTTTCATCCGGATTGATCCTCCGCATATGACCAAGTTCTAAATATTCGAGTATTGAGGCATCATATTGTTCTTTTATCTCGGGCGTTTTCATAAGTTTTTTCTCCATTCTGTAGAATTGAGCTAAGGCGATGTTTCGGGAATTTCATAATTCTTCGCATTTTTTGAATGGGAGAGTCACCACATATCTTCCATCCTTGTTTCGTATTGTTGTTTCAGTAAAATTTTGTTCACAAAATTGGTCTTCTCCCAAAATCGTGTAAGTACTTTCTCTATTGATGTTGTATTTAGAAGTGATATTTGTTTTCGTTGAAGAGTGCTTCCCGGTATGGGTCCTCCAACTATCCATCCAAATTTGGTTTTTTGAGTTAAAATTGATCCAAATGTTCTCATCGGAGTTCCAAGTGTGAATATTAATGGTCCTATGTCCATTCCAATAAGTAAATCAATGGGTTGACTAACGTAAAATTTCGGGTCAGCCAGTTCTAATGCTGTTACATCTCGAAGTTGTGATTCATCTAAGTTTTGTGGTGGTAGATTTGAAGGTAAATTCTTTAAAACTGGAGCCCATACTTCCAGTTTAAAGCTAGGGTCGTATTTGGATCTCATAGTAAACAAGCAAGATTTCGTAGATGTTTCGGCAACAAATTGACTAAGGCCGGTGATATGAACTAGATTGTTCCTTGTGGGTAATTTCAAGAGGTTTTTCATCTTCTCAGAAATAAAAGTGGATTGTGATCCTGAATCTATTAGAGCTCGGGCATCGTATAGTTGTCCTTTGGTTTCAATTTGTACTATTGCTGTGAAAAGTAGAGTTCCTCCAGATTGTTGCTCACTAATTCGCTCATCTTGGAGGGTCAAAGTGGTAATAGTAGTTGGTTCTAGGTTGGTAGTGGACTGTATGTGAGTTGAAAGAGCAGCAGCACTGGTACTAGGTTGTGCTTCCACTCGAGCTAGGTATGTGTTTGTGGTTTGGGTTTCCGACCCCTTGTGTAACAAAGTATTATGTCTCATAGTACAAATACGACAACCAAAGCGACTTTTGCAATCTCTTACTCCGTGGTTTGAAGACAAGCAGTTGTAGCATAAGTGTGACGTTTTCACAGTGTGAATTCTGTCATTTACACTCTTTTTTAAAAATTCGCTGCAATCCCTGATAAAATGGTTTGATTTGCAGACTTGACATGTTTGAATATTTTGTGATTTATTTTGTTGAGGTTGTGCTAAGTTGTTTCTTCTTCCAAAATTGGTTGTATTTTTTGCGACATTTGTTTGAAATGTTTTCAAAAATCTAGGTTTATTGATGTTATTTTGCTTCTGTTGAGCAAATTTTGATGTTGAGGGTTTTATATTCCCTACTGATTCCAAGGTTTTGAATTTGTTTGTTAAGAAATCGTCAAAATGTTCCCATTTTGGTATTTGTTTACAATCGCTTAATGAGTTCTCGAATTCTTCTAGGAAGCCTCTAGGTAATTTTGTTGAGCAAATGTATATTAAAATCGGATCCCATCCTTTTACATCGACGTCAAGCATCCCCAAAGTTTGAATACAGCTATTTACAGTGCGTTGTAGTTTTTGAATAGTGTGACTTGAGTGTGTAGAAACACCAGGTAGATTAAAAAGTGTTTTAATTTCTTCATTAATTTGCATCCTTTTGTTCTCATAACGATCCGTAAGATTTTTCCATGCTAGTGCAAATCCATCATTAGTTAGTGGAACATGCGTCATAATTTCTCGTGCTTCTCCTGCTGTCTTTTGAGTCAAATGGAATAACTTTTCGACATTACTTAATTTTGAATTGTTTATGTAAATTGCCGAAAATAAATCTCTGAAAGTCGGCCATTCTCGATAACCCCCTTTAAAAGTGTCTGTGTCGCATGGCGGCAGCCGTGATATTGGCGTAAAATCCACTTCCTTTCCTTGCTGTGACATCTCTGAATCTCTTTTCATTTTCTCCTGTGCTTTTTCATCCAAAATATTTTGAATTTGTCCATTTATTGAACTCAGCGCCTGTTTATATGATCCCATGGTATCCATATAATGTTTCCTCAGTTTATTTTTGTCGATGGTTTTTCCTCCTTCCTCTGGAACATAATCACGGCAGTCTAAATTTGACCTTTTGACCTGGTCCCATGCAGAATCCAACTCCATACGTGTTGTCTCCAAAGTATGAACCGTGTCATCGGGTTTGGTTATTGAAAAAATTGAAATATAATCCTGAAGATCGTTGACGCAGTTTGCGAATTTTTCGCTTAGGGTTTTATCCATTTTGATGACTGAGTATTAACCTTTACCGAAATTTTGTTGTGTTGCAAAAGGGAAAGGCAACCCAATGAAAAGGATTGACTTGGAATAAGATTCAAACTTTTATCCAAATTTTTATTTTTAAAAAATAAGGATAAGCTATCTTCTTCAATTTGATCAACGAAATCTATGTTAAATTTTTTGTTTGGGTCGAATTATATTTCGTTTTGTTCCAAAGATTTGAAAGTTCTTGCAAAATCCCAAAAACTTTACTTTGTATGAGACGCCGAAATAATTTTGTTTAAAAATGTTTGCTGGGTTGTCCAGAGAAGTCAAACTCAATCAAGATATACCAAGGTGTCATAAAATATCTTGAAATCCACTCACAGGGATATTTTATTTTAAGAAAATCCAGAAATAATCAATATTATTCCAAAAGGAGTAAAGGTGAGGATTGTACAGGCAAAAAACGCTACAAAAACGACCAAAAGTTTTTTGATTTTCCACCAACGAGGGTTTTTTCCCAGCAGTAAAATTGTAGAAAATGAAAATTTTCAATAAATATTTCCAAAAATGAAAAATATTTTCTATTGAAATAAAAATGTGTGCTGGGTTGTCGAACAAGGAATCCTCAAAAATATTACCATAAAATTGCAGGAGTAATTTTAAATTTTGACGAGACAAAAATATTGCTATGAAAATTTGTTTGAAGCAACAAATTTTCTAAAAACGCTAGGTAATTAATTTAAAATCACAAGGTGCTAGTATTGGGTCAAGTTCCACAAAATTTTTTTTTTCCAGAAAAATTCCAATAATTTGCAAAATTTTCCAAAAAAATTTGTATATCCCAGCCAAATGTTTGTTGTGTCAAACTCCAATTAAAATATCCACAAAAATCTAACTTTTTTCGTTCAGCGAATTCTTTCAAAATGTTTGTTTTAGCAAAAAGCAAAAAAAAATACCAGCAAAATATTTCTGCGAAAAAATGCATAAATAAATTTTGGGTCCCAGAAATGTTTTTCTTGATTTAAAAATTTTAAGATATTTGTAAAATATAATAAAAATGTGTTATATTATATATGGGATCTATTTTTTTGTCTGTCCACAGACGCCAATCTAATTTTTTTTCTCAAAAATCCCGAAAAAAAATTCTAGGTTAAGTATTGTTTCATGTCCGTCCACTAGACGCTATTATTTGCAAAATCCGTCTGTCCACCAAATGGTTGCTATGTATTTCGCTTATGTATTTTTGTGACGCCAAAAATGTTAAAAATATGGCGAATATATATTTTTATGTGACGCTAGATTTTTTTCCAATATGGCGTTTATATATGTGTCAAGCGACGCCAATTTTCCAATAAGAATTTTTTTTCCAATATGGCGTTTATATGTGTCAAGTGACGCCAATTTTCCAATAAGAATGTTTTTTCCAATATGGCGCTTATTTATTTTTTGAACTGCACGTTCAGCAATTTCCAATATTATATATTTATGTGTATGAAAATTCGCGCTATTTTATAAGTACTTATTGCGCCTATGTGAGTCTATATTTAGATGTCCGTCCACAAAATGGCTCCAAAAAGGGAAATTTTCTCAAAAAAGTGTCTTAGAGGCAACGCAGCAACTTTAAAAAGTGTCAACTTGAGATTTCAAAGTATGGGAATCTTCGGGTCAATGCAAATATTGAGGATTTGCCTGCTCCCGGTATGCCCTTTATGTCCAACAAGATAAATTTGATTGAGTACTCACTTTGATTTAGCCTTTGGGTCTCAAAAATTTGTTGTTGTAGTGTTGCTATTGTTGTTGTTGTTGTATTGTTGTTGTGTTGCCGGAGTCCTTCGTGGTCTTCTGGCAGCTTCCACAATTTTGCGTACTTCTTTATTTTGTTTGGTTTTTTTGTGATATTGTGTACTGTCACTTTTTTCACACCTTTTATTTTTGTATTTTGTCTTTTGTGTAGACCTTTTTTTATATTAACGAAAAAATAAAAAATTTAATTAAATTTTGTTTATTTTTGTAGCACTGTGTAATTTCTTTTAGTTCTGTAGCACCGTGTAATGTCACTTTGTATCACTTTTTAATGTCACTTTTGTAGCACTGTGTATTTTCTGTTTGTTTTGTAGCACTGTGTGTTGTCTCTTTTTTGTAGTAAATTTGTAAAAATATATATTTGTTTGTTTAATGTCACTTTTTTGTAGCACAGTGTACTTTCTATTTTTTTTTCACTTTTTCTTTTGGTTGCACTTTTTTAAACGTCACTTTTTGTTAATTTATTTATTTATATTTTATTATGCACTTTTGTTTTTGTTTCACTTCACTGTGTCTGTCCACTTAATACTTTGTTTTTTGTTTTTAATATTTTAAAAACTTCACTTTATTATCCGGCTCGAAGGACCAAATGTTTTTTACTTCACCTTTTTTATTTGTTATTTAATTAAAAAATGATGTTTATTTTTGCTTTTTTTTCTTTTATTATTTTGTTTCAATTCTTTAAATTCAATTTGTTTCGTTTACACTTTTTGTTTAGATTTAGGTTTTTTTGTTCAATTAATTTCCTTTTTTTTTTTGTACATTGTTTTGTTTACAATTTTTTGTTTATTTGTAGTTTTTTGTTCAATTTGTTCAATTTTTTTTTTTTTTTTTGTACAATGTTTTATTTTCAATTTTTTGTACAATGTTTTATGTTTTTTGTATTATGTTTTTTTTGTTAACACTTTGGTTTTTTTTTTTGTTTTTGGGCACTGTTCACTTCGGGGGGGAAACTTGCGTACGCGCTTTCAAATTCGAGACAGAACTGCCCTAACTCAAATTTGCATCGTCAGAGCAAACCTGTTTTGGCTGGTGACGATGCTTATTTATTTGAATTCAGCATTGGAATTTACCGGTGGCTGCATATATGTGCATATGTGTGTGTATATGTACATCATTTTTTTATGATGTTATTTATGCAGCCACCGGTAATGTAACAAACAACACTGTTGCGCAAAAATCTAGCATCTTTTATGAACATTAACATTAAAATTAACTCGAAAGATTTTGTAATGCTAATGCTGGAGTTAATGTCGACGTCGTCGACGGCGTCAAATGTCCAAAAAAATTGAATCGTATGAAATTTTATGAGAGCAATCGTTTCAACTTTTTCGGCGTCGTCGACGGCGTTGACATTAACTCCAGCATAACAAGGGAAATCACCAAATTAAAAATGCTTATAAAAACAGAAAAAGTTTCTGTCACTCTGTCAGTACCCTAAGCATAGACGCTCTAAATTGTTCTGGTATCTTTTCATCGCGGAGTCGGAGAAGGCGAGCAAAGTCAAACAATTTATTTTCAATGTTAGTGATTGTAACATTACAATAATGCCTAAACGCAAGTGTACTTTTAACATTTCTTTGCAAAATAAGTATCCATTTATAAAACAAAGAAGTGGTGAATCAGACGTTACGTGTGAAAAATGTCGTACTGATTTTAGTGTTGGACATGGTGGTGCCAGTGATATTGAGAAGCATTTAAAATCGGAAAAACACAAGCTTTCTGATCAAGCTGCCGCTTTAAGCTCGTCAATGCTTTCTTTTTTTAAAAGAACAAATTTGGCGACTTCCAAAGACTTGGATATAGCTGCAGCGGAGGGTGCGTGGGCGTACCACACAGTGCAAGAAAACCACAGTTTTCGTTCGAATGACTGTGCTTCAAATCTAATACAAACATGTTTTGAGCAAAAATTTAGATGTGCCCGTACAAAATCACAAGCTATAGTTGTAAATGTGCTGGCACCTATGGCGATGGACGAATTGAAAGAACACCTTCACGAAGCCCACTGCATATCTTTATTAACCGATGCTTCCAATCATGGCTCAATAAAATTATTCCCTGTTTTAGTTCGCTATTTTGTACCATACGAAGGCGTGAGAGTCAGGATTTTAGAGTTTCAAAAGCAGCCAGGCGAATCATCTGATATAATTGTGGATTATTTGAAAGAAGTATTATCTTGCAATGATTTGAAGAAAATTGTGGCATTTTGTGCAGACAATACAAACTGCAATTTCGGAGGAAAGAATAGAAAAGGGATAAATAATGTTTACGCGAAATTGAACCTATCCGTCGGAAGGCAGCTCATTGGGATTGGGTGTGGAGCCCATATAATTCATAATGCTATCAAAACAGTCGCAGATTGTCTCCCTGTTGACTTCGAATGCATCATTGTGAAAATTTATTCATTCTTTTACATCTACAGCATTCGGGTAGAAGTTCTGAAAGAGTTCTGTGATTTCACCGACACAGAGTATCAGAAACTGTTGGGCTACAGTAAAACAAGGTGGCTTGCTTTAATGCCGGCGCTTGAGAGAATTTTAAAAATGTTTCAGCCTTTGAAAACCTATTTTCTGAGCATAGATAAATGCCCTACTATTTTTAAAACGTTTTTCGAAAATCCCAGCTCTGAATTGTGGTTATATTTTTTGCACGCACAGACAGCGATTTTTCATCAAGCCGTGTTGAAAATCGAGGGACAAAACGTGTCCGCAATAGAGTCTGCGAATGAAATTAATCGTCTCCAAGATAACTTACAACTTAAAGAGAATTCGATTTTCCTTCCTCATTCCGTCCGCAATCTACTGGTAAAATTACAAAAAACTGACGTTGCTGTTGATGAGCAGAATGTGAAAACTGCGGCAGCGGATTTTTATAAGACAAGTAAAGAATACTTGGAACAGTGGTGCCAGTTCAATGCACAACTAGCAGTATTTGAATGGTCAAATTTGAGAAAAGTCCCTACTTGGGAAGACGTACAGATTGTGACGGATTTGCTGATCACACAAAGATTTCTTAGCAGTAGCCAAGATACGGAGGTGTTCGATGAGTTTTCGCTTATTTCCAGTTACGTCACAGTTGAAAAAATCAAAAGCTGGAACGATGAGAATGTTGCTACTGAAGACCGTTGGGTGGAGCTGTTTAAACACTTCCGTGCTAATAATCTCAACTGCACAAACTTTCGCACAATTATTGAGTATGTTTTATGTATGCCTGGAAGTAACGCACCTGTCGAAAGAGTTTTTTCCCTAATGAATAAAATATGGACTAGTGAAAAAACGCAGTTAAGTGTGACAGTTTTAAAAGCTATTTTAATTACTAAGACTAACATCAAGAAACAATGTATATATATATATATTAAATATGCATATATATTCATAATCAGCATGAAACTCTAAGTCGATCTGTCCGTCTGTTTGTTTAAATTACGACACAGCCCACATTATTTGACGTATAGTCTCAAAATTTAGCCGAAAAATTTGAATTGTCTATAGGATGGTTGGTATTGAAAAGTATCTATCGGTTCACGTTTTGGTATAGTTAATGTGACCATTTATATTTTTCGTCAGAGCGGGACGCCTGCGGAATTTTGTAAAAAAAATTATGCATTTAAAAACAAATTTTATTCAAAAACGGAGAGAATACGTATAAATCTAATTTATGAAATTAATCTTATGTCTAAGTATTTGTTTTATATTTGTCAGCAGAGCAAATTAGTTTTCAAATATCAGGTCTAGTTTTTAAGTAGGAATGGAGCTGATTACATTGTTTCTTGATGTTAGTCTTAGTAATTAAAATAGCTTTTAAAACTGTCACACTTAACTGCGTTTTTTCACTAGTCCATATTTTATTCATTAGGGAAAAAACTCTTTCGACAGGTGCGTTACTTCCAGGCATACATAAAACATACTCAATAATTGTGCGAAAGTTTGTGCAGTTGAGATTATTAGCACGGAAGTGTTTAAACAGCTCCACCCAACGGTCTTCAGTAGCAACATTCTCATCGTTCCAGCTTTTGATTTTTTCAACTGTGACGTAACTGGAAATAAGCGAAAACTCATCGAACACCTCCGTATCTTGGCTACTGCTAAGAAATCTTTGTGTGATCAGCAAATCCGTCACAATCTGTACGTCTTCCCAAGTAGGGACTTTTCTCAAATTTGACCATTCAAATACTGCTAGTTGTGCATTGAACTGGCACCACTGTTCCAAGTATTCTTTACTTGTCTTATAAAAATCCGCTGCCGCAGTTTTCACATTCTGCTCATCAACAGCAACGTCAGTTTTTTGTAATTTTACCAGTAGATTGCGGACGGAATGAGGAAGGAAAATCGAATTCTCTTTAAGTTGTAAGTTATCTCGGAGACGATTAATTTCATTCGCAGACTCTATTGCGGACACGTTTTGTCCCTCGATTTTCAACACGGCTTGATGAAAAATCGCTGTCTGTGCGTGCAAAAAATATAACCACAATTCAGAGATGGGATTTTCGAAAAACGTTTTAAAAATAGTAGGGCATTTATCTATGCTCAGAAAATAGGTTTTCAAAGGCTGAAACATTTTTAAAATTCTCTCAAGCGCCGGCATTAAAGCAAGCCACCTTGTTTTACTGTAGCCCAACAGTTTCTGATACTCTGTGTCGGTGAAATCACAGAACTCTTTCAGAACTTCTACCCGAATGCTGTAGATGTAAAAGAATGAATAAATTTTCACAATGATGCATTCGAAGTCAACAGGGAGACAATCTGCGACTGTTTTGATAGCATTATGAATTATATGGGCTCCACACCCAATCCCAATGAGCTGCCTTCCGACGGATAGGTTCAATTTCGCGTAAACATTATTTATCCCTTTTCTATTCTTTCCTCCGAAATTGCAGTTTGTATTGTCTGCACAAAATGCCACAATTTTCTTATTCAAATCATTGCAAGATAATACTTCTTTCAAATAATCCACAATTATATCAGATGATTCGCCTGGCTGCTTTTGAAACTCTAAAATCCTGACTCTCACGCCTTCGTATGGTACAAAATAGCGAACTAAAACAGGGAATAATTTTATTGAGCCATGATTGGAAGCATCGGTTAATAAAGATATGCAGTGGGCTTCGTGAAGGTGTTCTTTCAATTCGTCCATCGCCATAGGTGCCAGCACATTTACAACTATAGCTTGTGATTTTGTACGGGCACATCTAAATTTTTGCTCAAAACATGTTTGTATTAGATTTGAAGCACAGTCATTCGAACGAAAACTGTGGTTTTCTTGCACTGTGTGGTACGCCCACGCACCCTCCGCTGCAGCTATATCCAAGTCTTTGGAAGTCGCCAAATTTGTTCTTTTAAAAAAAGAAAGCATTGACGAGCTTAAAGCGGCAGCTTGATCAGAAAGCTTGTGTTTTTCCGATTTTAAATGCTTCTCAATATCACTGGCACCACCATGTCCAACACTAAAATCAGTACGACATTTTTCACACGTAACGTCTGATTCACCACTTCTTTGTTTTATAAATGGATACTTATTTTGCAAAGAAATGTTAAAAGTACACTTGCGTTTAGGCATTATTGTAATGTTACAATCACTAACATTGAAAATAAATTGTTTGACTTTGCTCGCCTTCTCCGACTCCGCGATGAAAAGATACCAGAACAATTTAGAGCGTCTATGCTTAGGGTACTGACAGAGTGACAGAAACTTTTTCTGTTTTTATAAGCATTTTTAATTTGGTGATTTCCCTTGTTATGCTGGAGTTAATGTCAACGCCGTCGACGACGCCGAAAAAGTAGAAACAGATTGAACTTTTTCGGCGTCGAATTTCTTACGGCGTTAAGATTAACTGCTCTCATAAAATTTCATACGATTCAATTTTTTTGGACATTTGACGCCGTCGACGACGTCGACATTAACTCCAGCATTAGCATTACAAAATCTTTCGAGTTAATTTTAATGTTAATGTTGCTTGAAAAAAACTATGCAAATAAATTATATGTTCACGGGGAAAAAATAACTCATGTATTTTTCATCAATATCAATATCCAGTATTTTCGAAAGCGGGACATTTTTGCTCTCGCTGTGGACAGCGGGACAGATAACTTCAAAGCGGGACTGTCCCGCCCAAAGCGTGACGTATGGTCACGTTAGGTATAGTCCCCATATAACGATATCTCTCGAAATTCGGTATTTTGATGATTTTTGCCACATTTCTTCTCGGATTTGTCTAACATATATAACGATACCTACCT